ACGCTTCGTTTCTGCTTCCTGTTCCTCACTTCTCTTCCGTTTCTTGTCAACATCTAGGTCACACTCCAAAATCCGTCCTCCCGGGTCCTCCTTCTGTCCGTCCCTACGTGTACCAAACAGAGTGAGAGTCAAGCGCGAGGGTATTCCTTTTCTGATCCTTTGTCTTTGGGGAAGCTTCTGCCACTCTTCAACATCACCTACCTGCTCTATCTCCCCGGTACCCCTGCTCAAAGAAAACGTTTTCCTCAAGTCCAGTCCGTCCAGTGGAGTTCCTGTCTTCGGAATCCTCAGTCTCTCTGTCCCGCGACACACTTCTGCGTGATTCAAACGAAAATCACAAAATTCCTGTGCCAAACGAAAACACACCGATTCGTTGTTTATGATGACTGAACCTACTCTGGGCGCCAATTTGGCCAATTCACCAAAGAGATCTGTCAGTCGTTTCGCGTGATTTTCCTTGTGGGTTCTTTCGTCTGTTTCTTCGTCTTCCGGTCGGGACTCAACACTCAAAGATTGTTTTGACAACAGGCGACGTCGTTTGATGGCTTCTCCAACAAGGACCTGATCTACCTCTTCACCATCTACCGTTACATGAAGTTCTTCACGAAGCAAAGGTAGCTCTGAATGATTGCACTGTACAACGCGAATCACAGCTCTCGCAAAGCTCGCAGTGTACTTTGCAGCAAAGGTAGACAAGGGCACCCAAACACCATCTGCCTTCACCTGTCCTTCTATCTGCCTATGGAGATGTCCCTTGCTGCAATACCGACAATCAAGTGATCGGTGCATCTGTCGGGAGGTCGTCAAAATTACTGTTCTCTTTCTCAAAGGTTCCCCTCTCCAATTCAGGTTTCCTACCTCGCACATATCGAACACTGTTGTCAAGGTTCCACACCTCATCTGTTCCAACTCTGGTTGGAGGAGAAGTTCAGAACCTAAAGGTTGCTCCAAATGAAAATGATTGCCTGCTTGAACCTGGTGCCAATAGAGCTCCTCACACAAACAAAGGTTCGGTTTCTCATGTCGTCTTCCCTCAATGATGTGTTTTCTCATTTTCAAGCTTCTTCCCATGTTTCTTCGTGCGAAGTTTCCCCAGAGTTTGCAGTCAGGTGATGCCCAAATGTGTCTGGGACGTCGTGCTTCAATGATGGCCCATAGATGGGCTTGGCCTTCTGGGGTTCGCAGGTCACCATCCTGGATTGTAAATCTTTGGACTGACAGTCCCATCTTGCTGGCTGTGTGTGTCAACTGGGACTCGGGAAAACAGTAGATCTCCAGGATGTCTAACCTTTGGTTCGAATTGGAAAATCGTGGTGCTAAGTGACGTGTTCGGATGTCAGTCGAGTGGTGTGCCAGTTCCTCCAGTTGGTGTTCAATCTTTGTTACCAGGTTGGCTAACTCCTTGTCAAAGAACTTCATGAAGGAAGTGTCCTCACTGGATGTTCCATCACCATCTGGTTTTCGCTGGACTACGGAACTCGACTTCTCAATGGATGGTTCTAGGCATCTTCCGCCTCGGCTGGCAAAATACGCCTCATCTCGTCCTGCAGCAGAGCAATCTGCCTCTGAATTTGCTCCACTCTCAGACTGGCCTCGTGGGAGATCTCCACCTTCATGTTCCACACTTCTTCGTCGGCTGGATGACCACGTTTGGCTGCTGTTGACCCACTTGCTGACGTCGTGATCCATGCTGGGACTTCCGAGCTTGGAGCGTCCTTCCACTCTTCGATCACATCCCAGTCCGTGGCTGTTGCTCCATTCATAGCCCACTCCTGCTTCATCTTTGCCATCATAGCTGGAGTCAAGGCCATCTGACGGGGCTCCATCTTGGGCATCTGATTGGCTTTCTCCAATGCCCTCACATAGTTCTGAAAGCTCATGGCCCACGGAGAGGTCAGGTCTCCCTTCTTCTTCATGAACTCTCCATAGCTCGCGTCGACAGCCAGGGCTTGCGCAAATGTCTTTCCGACGTGTTTTCCGCCGGCCAGCACTTGATCTCCCCAATCCCTCAACGTCATCACACCTGGCGGCTTCACGATCTTGAACTCGCTGGATCCGGATGCCATCGCCAGGGCATGATCCTCTGGGAATGGAAGAGGAACATCCAATCCCACTGAGGCTGCATAGGCGGGACTGGCTTTCTTGGGCGCCATCGGTGTCAGGCGTGGCGGATGGCTTCTCGCACGTGCTTGATGCTGTGGTTGCTGCTGGGCTGTGGAGATGGTGTCGTGTTGCAGAGTGAGTGTCTTTCTCTTCCGTTTTTCTTCCTTTTCTTTCATCAATCATGTTAGTCACGACCTCCCAAGATTCATCATGCATATCTTCAACTTGTGCGTGCTTCAGGATTTCCACAAGGTCAACCAAGAACAAACCCTTCTCACTCACTGCTAAAGGAACATTCACCTTTCCATGAAACATGCACAACATCTTTCGCGACGTGCAAATGTCCGCAGCCACTGCTTTCAAGAATGCGTTTGACAGGAGAAAAGGCGTTGTTCCATCTACCACTTCAAGCTTTAGCCACCTACTCCCAAAAGGAATAAACACCGCACCCAAACTAGACAAAGTCCCATTGTTACCAAACCTGAACACTGTTTCTGACTTCTGCCATGTGACACGTTTCACAAAATCATCCGGCAAGTTTCGCATTAACTGCTCCAACCGCTTTTTCCCGATCACGGATTTGCTAGCTCCGGTGTCTAAAATCGCCGTGCTACCATGATCCACAAAAAACATCGGCTCATGTCGATCACACCTGACATGTTTCCCGTGAACACTTTCACTCAAACCCCTCCTGAGTGTACGTTTCATGTCGGTAATGGTCAGAGCAGTCAAAATGAATTCTTCATTAACATGGGTCTCTGTTTTAGAAGCCCTGCAAAAATGGGAAGGCACACACATGTTCCCGACCTGGTCGTCGTACAGGTGTGGGTTCAAAGTCTTGCCATGGTCGGTCTCTGACATCGTGGTCGTCGGCGTCTCCGGAATCGTCATGCGGGTGTTTATCTTGGGCCACCAGTCTGGTAGAGCTTGCTCTAACGAAATTGGAAGCCGATCAAACACTTCTTGCTCTGTGGGACCCAAGAATTCACCTTCCATAGTCGAAACATGGATCTCAGCTGAGGTGGCGTTCTGGTTGCTTCCGCTGCTCTTGTTGGGGCACTCTTGACGCCAATGTCCTCTGGCGCCACACAAGCGACAGTTGGAATTTGCAATCCTTTCTGCTAGCGACTGCCTTTTTCGAAAACCACCCTTCTGGTTCCAAGAGCCCTTTTTTGACTTCTGCTTTCCTTTTCCTTTGATCGGTGGCCAGAAGCCCCGAGACCTGATCTTGTCTCTCACACGGCTCCGGGCCTCAGTATACGCTGAGAAGCACATACTGAGATCTGCATTGTCTTGACATGCCTCCACGAGCTGGTCCTCGAACTCTGCAACCATCAGGGCGTCTTCATCCCCTTGGTCAAGCAATGTCTGGATGCCTGTCTCCTCATCTGGCTGGTAATCTTCCTCAGCAATGAATGCAGGAGCACCATTGTCTTCATCTTCTTCCACGTAGTTGACTGGGTAGACCTTCTTCTTGCTATCATTGCCTGAGCTGCCAACCAGAATCTTAGGGGCCAGCTGCCTCATCGCATCTTCCACCTTCTTTGCCTGAAGTTCCCCTCCCGTCATCGAGAGGACACGTTTCTTGTCTTCGGCATTCAGGTAGCTCTGTCTGAGCATGATGAAGGCCTTGATCTCCTGGATGGACACCGATGGAATCTCTGCAAATGCCACATTCATACGATTGACGTATGAGAACACGCTCTCATCTTGTTTTTGCATCACACGATACAAAGCACGCTCGAATTTTTCATATGTCTGCAGTTCCGCTGATTCTTCCCAGGATGCCACTGCTCCCAAAAGAAGTTTGATTCCACCTTCAGGATCTGAAAGTTTTGCCCCATCCAGCGACTTCACCTGGGCCCACGCTGTTCCTTTCATCAGCAATGCCAGCCTTGGTGCCAGCATCGGCTTGTCTTTGGTTGGGCATATGGAATGTAGGAACCGAACTTTGTCTGCGTATTCTCGAGGATCATCTATCGTTGGGTCGAAGCTCGGCAGTATGTTCCAAATGTGTCCTGACTTCTCGTCTCCCGCACTGCTCTCAGTGCCGGCCATGGCTCACTGCAAAATGCGAGTGTAAAAAGTCGTGCACCAAAACCGGAATTCAACAATGCAACCTCACCAGGTAAATTCTCCTATTGCCCCAACAGGAAAAACACCTACGCCCCCTCAGCGGGGGCTCCGCTACCAATGTTAATCTTTCCCTGAGATATTGTGAGAAACCCTGTTCTCCTACCGACAAGCGACCACGCCTTTCTTCCAAGTGTCTAAGCCTCCCACCCACCCTTTCGTGGGTTTGAACAACCAAGGAGCCGTTGCGAGACCGTCCGTTCCAAACTAGCGAGTTTGACAATATATATAGCTACACATATATACATATATATAAAGATTGTTGGTCTGCTTGTCACCTCTGGCCAACTTGCTTATGGATTCACAGGTGGTGTTCGCCATGTGCTTCAATCTGCTGTACCTCCGTCAAATTGAAGAAGTGAAGTACACGCATGTTCTGTGGCCACACACACACATACTTCAGGCCTGATAAATCAGAACCTTTGGTCCGTGCATTGACAATAGAATTTGGGAATCCCAACTGGAACAAAGGACATACCACTATCCCAAATAGGTCCTGTACAGGAGCTCAAAAAGCGCTAACGAAAGGGACCCAAATTCCAATCAATTACTTCACTATATTTCACTACAAACCACCTGTTTGCCAAGAATGATGCTTCGGGTGTGGCTCAAAAGTGCATCCCAACACCTGGCTGGTAGACAGCCTCGGGAAGGTCCCAAGCAAGTTATGAACGCAATTTGTGATTTCCTGATCCGAAACTATAAAGTGTCTCACCCCCCCACCACCGCCCCATGCGTTTCGGAATTGTTCACCGTTGAGTTGCTTGTTGGAGGTCGCTGGCGCGAAGGAGGTCGCCTTCACAAGCAATTGGATGCCACTGGTAGGTATCCTGGTTATTCGTCAGGATGCATCAGCTCCTTTTAGCAGTCTTAAACTTGGATTCCAAAGTCCTGTGAATCGAACAAAGTAGACCGCGCTTTGCCATAAACATGTTGAATACTCAATTCCACTTTCAAGCCACTTCGGATTCCAAACGTCATCTTGGCCTGAAGTTCGGAAGAAGCGGAAACCAAACAACGTGTCACCAGGTTAGGACATTTGTGGGCTGTTCCAACTCACATGAGATGACTCGAAACAAGTTTTATGTATATTTTCCTGGAACATCTGGATTTCTCACTGTAGTCGCTAAGCCGCTACGTATTGAACAACTAGTGAACTCTGGCAAGTCGCCTAGGCATGCCTAGGCCTAGGTCGAGGCGCAGCCATGTGTCTACCACTCACACCCGACCAGTCCACCGCCGCACCCTGTGGTCGGTCGTGGGGTTGCCTGGCCGCTGCAGAGTTAGACCCGCTCGTGTGTTGGACGTGTCTTGGGGTGTCCGCAACGTGTTTTAAGACACGTGCGTTGGACGCAGCTATCAACCTAAACACCGAAGTTGGGCAGCCTTACCAAATGAGCTGGCCCTGTTTCATGCACATTCAAGTCTACACGTCTAAGAGCCGGTCCGAGGCTCCGACACAGATGTATGGCACACGTAAGCAACTAAACTGCTCCGGTTGCGAAACGCCATTGCAGGAATCTATATATAGATAGTTTTATATACAGCATACACCCTTCCTACTACCCTTATTTGTCTAACGCGAATCTATTTTGCAGCAGGCTGGATTTCACCAAGTTGTATCTGCCTCGGACACACACTTCGTCCTTAATTATACAGTTTACTTCCAAAAATGTCAAACATCTAAGCTATCTGAGGTGAGGAGCCGATGTGTTTCGGGAGTTGCATCACTTGCTCAGCAGCCAGGCAGTCATCTCAAGGCCAGACTTTCACGCTCCCCAATATGTTTCGAAAAAGGATTTCCAAATAGTCAGTGCATGTAGAGTCAGGATTACTAAGCCTCCCCAAGTTGAGTTTGTGGGTGTTAGAAACCCTGGGTTAATCCAAGCCACACAACCAAGTCATTTGTTAAATTCCATCTGATTAACTAGGAGGGGTTTATTATGCAAGGTACTTACCCTCATTGCACCTCAAACAGCCTGATTCAAACTTGCACAGTGAGCAAATGCCACCCCCTCTAGCCACTACCTTGGCCATCTGCACATGGTACTCATGAGAAAGCTTATTGATTAGTATGAGGGAGCTCATACTTACCTTCCTATGAGAATATTCAGGGGGAGTGGACCCCATGAATGGTACCTCAAACTTTGCTGACCTGCCATGGGGGAGGCGGTTCCTCTATCCGGTCTTGACATTAATCACCATTGCATCAATACAATTCCAGGCTTCCGGCAAGTGTTTTGGACTCCACCAAGATCACATCCCCATCTCTGCTGCCTTTATTCATCCTTCTCAACAATGTCGGGCACTGCCCAGGTTTCGGTGCATGTGGGTGGGTGAATCTCCAAACCTTCAGGGCGCTGCTTGGGTGTGCTCAGGTCACCGGGTGCCTCGCCTTGGCGGTGAGCGCCACCACGGTGGAGCCCACCAGATCCTCCAAGGCACAGCAGACCCAGGCGCCGCCAGCCTGGGAGGTAGCTCCCGAGGGAAGGATGAAGAGGAGTATCTTGATGGTTCGATGATGCTCGATGTTGCCATCGTTCTTTTTCATCTGGAAGTCAGTTTCCGAGTTTCCGTGAGGTTTCTGCCTAGCCTATGGCTACATCTGGTTTTGTTTTTTAAACAATTGACAGTCGATTAAATGTTTGGAACTTTAGAAGCGAAAAGCTGGAGGCCAAATTATGCTTTGATCAAGTCACACAAAGCCTCCAGACACATAAGAACACTTAAATCACCAGGGATCCGAATCACCAGGGATAAGAACACTTAAATCACCAGTACTTCAACATTCCCACGAAGAGATACGGTGTGTGTTAGAATAGGGAGATCCATAGTATTTCCGTCACTGGATGAAATAGCACCCCCCCCGTTCCGACCGCTTTTGTGGGCAGAAATAAATGGTGTCGTTTGCTAACCAACGTGAACCAATTCGAAGACCGCGCCTCGTTGCCTGGAAGGCTCCGCCCTGGGGGGACTGAAGGAAGGCTCCGCCCTACAAGATGTTGAGTGAGAAGGGGTGGGAGTGTAACGAAGTGTAACGAAGTGTAACGAAGTGTAACGAAGTAACAAGTCAGTGGAGTGTTCGTGAGCTTCAGACTTGGAATATGACACTAATAAGGGAAGTCAAAACGATGCACCAATGGGTGCGTCGACTTCTTTTTGCAAACGACGAATCTTGAACTCACTATTCTGATATGAGCTTTTACATCCCTTTTCCAACACCTGGCAGTAAATGGCAGGATTAGGATGAATGATATGCTGATATGGCGCCTTCCACCAGCTGTCTGTCCCTCATTCGTCCTTGGGGGCCACCTGAGCACTTATAGATCCATGTAGATCCCTATAGAATGTGTATAGATCTGCTTCCAGGGATCCCTGCTTGTGATCTAATGGGATCCATGTAGAATGTGTTTCCAGGCAGTTTGAAGAATTTTCCAATGGTGACAATCTCAGGTCGAGAAAACGAGTATACATAACCGTTCTCGTCGAATCACCTCGCTCCCGCCTCTGCCAAGTATGGTGGCTATGGCTTGCAGCCTAATACACAAAGGATCGTCTACAGTTGCTGTGCCCATTGCTACTGGTTGGAGGTCATTGCTACTAGGGTGGAGGCCATCGCTAGTAGGTTGGAGGCCATTGGCTTCCTCCTCACTCAGTTTTACCACCCTCCCTCACACAACGAGCGCCTGCATTTCATCCGGTCCGGGACATTGTCATTAGCAATAGCCTGTATATATGCCGGATGCCGCTTTGTATGACCCTCCCAGCTGTTGGTTGCTCCTGCATTTAGCCTCAGGTCCGTGCAATTCTCTCCTTGGTGCAGACGTTGGCACCTGCAGGTATCAGTGGACTACCTGTCAACAAAAACACATTCTGTTCATATCTTTTGCATGTCTCCATTGCGTGGTAGCGTCAGATAGAGAAACAAAACACCAAGGCCTAGGGCAAGACGTGTACACTGCACCAATCTTCAGGACATTCTAGTGTGTGTATATATATATATATAGAGAGAGAGGCACTCAACACAAAGCTGTCATCCACTGACCTGTGACATATAAAAAATGTTACTCATTTTTCCAGTTCTCAGTTCCATCAACAAGCCTCGACTGTGCCGGGTGAACAAGCCAATCAATCGCTAGCAAGACCCTTCAAGGCCAGGCAGCTCACCTGGAACTCCTCAGCATCCTGCCACCATGCAGTGGCACACGCATCACCCACCTCAGCCAACGTGACGGTCGCTCGTGGTCGTCGGGTGATCGACCACTCTGCCTTCCAAACGAACCCCAAGAAATACAGCCATGGCCCGGGACCATTAACGGACACATCCAGGAAAACGTTGAGGATGGGAAATGGTGAGGGGGGCCATTAAGCCACTTCTATATTTGCCATTGATGCACTGATATCCACTGTCCACTATGTTCCGAGCCAGGCGTTCTCAAAGTCATTATATACAGTGTCCAAGGTCTTTGAACACACTGCATTGGGCCAGCCACTCCTGATGAGGATATGGGAGTGAACCGATCCATACTTTATAGCAGCTGGATGGTCTTCTGTCCGACAAAAAAGTGTTGTTGAACTTGCATAAGTTGACATTGCAAAGAGGAGAAAAGGAATTGCGACCGCGTCAAACCTGGAATTTGTTGGTCTCTGTGGGTCTGGGCTCACTGCAAATCCTCTTTCTGTCTCCATGCATGCACTCGCGTCGTGGTTGCAGTGCATAAAATAAAACAAATGCTGCTTAAACATGGGGCCCGTCTCAGGGCCATTCTGCGTGAAATCTGACTTGGCATGTTGTGGTGTCAAAATGGTCTTGGCTTCATTTAGAGTCTTTTGGGATCCAGTCTTTCAAAACCTTCAACTTTCCCAACAAACGGCTTGGCGAAGAATCCTCGGGGCCAACGGCCACGCCGCGCGGAACGTGCGGTTCAAGGGCAGGGCCAAGCTAGCCAAGAGAGGCAAGTAGAGCGATCGCGCCTGGAGAGCTTTGAAGAAGCACATGGACACATGTGTCCGGTCGCAAAAGGTCAACATAGGTCGAAAAGCATTTTAGGATATTTTAGGTTCCAGCGCGTTTATTTTCTATATAGTGGCTGGAAATAACAAGTGCGTTCTTTTTAACTTAAACATTGAGGTGTGCTTGGTGTGGTTGAGTCCAAGAAGCTTTCTGCATCTTTCTGCGCAGTCATTTTTCTGACAAAAACTTGCCAATGCACCTCTGCAGTTGGCAAAAGGGTAGCCGTGAGTAGGAGTGGGTATGAGTATCGTGGCTGCTGCCAAGTCTCACCTGAGTGGTGTGTTCATTAAAAAAGACGTTCAGCCCAATTATTACATGGGCCAAATCCGTGAAATTCATAGCACACCACACGTATCTTCCTGTATGCTAGAGCAACTGTAGCTTCAAGGCGGCAATGGCCAGCAAAAACACACGAATCATGATGAATTTTTCTTTGGGAGAAGGAGGGCGGCTCGTCATGTCGTTTTGCTTGGACTCCATTGGACTCGTCTTGTCGTTCATCTCAAGATAGCTGGAGGCGTGTGACTCCATTGCATGATCCAAGTTGAACCACGTAAATGGTGAAAACTCTCATGCCAAACTTGTCGTGGAGACCAGATCGTATGTAGAAAGGAATTGTATTTGTGAGTCAAAGAATGCCAAAGAAAGGCTGAAGGAAGTTGCGACGCTACGACTGATCAATCATCAGTTGTCAAGATCATTCAGGCTCTAATATTGGACCTGCAAATTTGAAGAGCTGGACTATCAGAGTTGCTCAGTCAATTAGACATCTACAGGAGGTCCTGCCACACTAGCCAAACCATCAGAAACCATTTGATGATCGATGATCGTAAAGAGCGTGCATCCATATCATCTATAATGTAATCTCAGGAATATATCATAAACCTCCCCTACTTAATCAAAGCCCACACAGCCCCAAACAGTTAAACATATTATTCGTGGCTAACTTCCTCCTGAATAAGGTTGTTGGGTGCTAGAAGCCCTGCCAGTTAACTCGAGCTGCACAACCCAGTCAATGTTTTAACAATATCTAATGGTTACATTTACTAAGGGAGGTTTATTAATCATGCTGCAACCACCATCATGCTGCTCATCGCGTTCTTTCAATTCATCAATGAGGCTTTTGCTCATGGCTTAGCCTTTCAAGCATTGGTATCAACCTTCATGGTCCAATGGCCTCATAGCATCTTATTCAGGGGGGGTGGACCTCAAGAATGGTACCTCAGACCTTGTTGATCTTCTTGACCTTCCATGTGGGTCGGTATTAATCCGGTCTTCACATTAGTCATTAGTCAATGGTCTTGTTGTTTTTCATCGGTTTCACTGGACTATTGACACCGGTGAGTATGGCATTCAATGGAAAGTTTGAGGCTTCCTATTAAGTACAGTACATAACAACAAAGAACACAGAAAAACAACAAAACACTCTTGAGCTCAGAAAGTCTCAGGTTCTTCATTTCTTCATTGGCTCACCAAGCTCCACACAACATTCAACATGGCCTGCTTGAGGTCCTGGAACTCGCTCGAGGACTGCCTGTGCGGGTGCTGGTCAGCGACCAGAAATGACGATGCCTCAACCAAAGTGGTCAATGACTGACTGGACATCCCTAATTGAACATGAACCCGAATGACAACTGACATTCCAGAACCCTGACACCTACATCGGTCTAAATTCCCCACGCATTGTTCGAAGGGTTTGTTTGGGGGCACCTATTCTGACACAAACAAACAAGCAAACCTACTCAGCAGGGTTCAATGCATCAAGGTTAGCTGTAACTTTGTTGGGCAAAACTGCGAGGAGAAAGATAATGAGGCACTAATTTTTGCCAGAGGCATTCTTCACGGAAAAGGCACCGTAATCAAACACAATTGCCGTTTTAGGGGTTGCGAACATGTGCTCAAAATCCATGGGTGGAGAAAGACGCCGTTTGGACGCCCCTAATACTAAAGACGCCGTTTGGAAGCCTCAAAACACCGTTTCCTTTTAATGGTTTCTGCCGGTTTCTGCTGGTCACAACAAAAAAGGCCGTCTTTGGAAAACGACGCTGTAATGACATGTCTTCTTGAAAAGGCAACTGCAGTATTTGTGCCGTTTCGAAGATCCAGGTTATATCTACCACTCAAACATCCTGGCCAGCATGAACCTCACACGAGACGCTCGTACACCGTTGTGCCAGTCTGAGACGACCGGACACTGCGAGCCACGCATCCACCAAGGACTGCACCTCGGTGTCAAAGACTTGGGGCAAGGTGGTGAAGGAAATACAGTGAAAAATGACACCATTTGGCTTTCAAGACGCACATTTTCAAGAGTTGTTGTTGTTGTTGTTGCTGCGCTCATCCACAGATATCCAGCGTTTTTTCTTGGGAATTCAAGTTGTGGTGCCACAGAACGACAGGGGCGCCACGTCTCTTTATATCAGTTTTGGATGCCAAACACCCATTTCCCACAGAATAAAGCATGCTCGCTCGGCTTTGAGTCCGGTCCTATGAGATCACTCCGAATATAGTCCTGACCCCTCACATGCTAGTTACCGGATTGACAAAAACCTTTTGCCTGGGAGTCTGATTTCGCTTGTTTGTCGGTTTCACCGCCCACCTATGATCTGGGCTTCAAACGATCTGAACGCTTGCTGTAAGGAAGCTGCGTGATGGCACCCACCTCACAGCATCACGGTGAATTTAGATTTTATTTAGCAGAGCTGCACAACGGCAGCACTCCACACTCCAGGGCCCCAGGGCACCCGTTTCCAGCTTGGCTTGTATGACATCAAGGCTGGCACTTACACTACTCTGCTTCTTGCCTGCATGCATCCCACGTATCAAGTAAACAGCTCTGGGTCAAACTCTTTCATATCTTTCTCACTACTGTGCCAGCGGCACACATGACGTGAGAGTAAGTGGACAGGATGGGTGGAATGTCACCCATCACGACGCATGATGGGGCCTGTGCGGCAACTCAAAGCTGTTGGCCTCCAACCTAATAAATAGCAATGGCCTCCAACCTAATAGTCTTGGCCAGCGAAGACAATATGTTTTATCATTCTACTCTACTGATGGGATCTACTGTGAGCTACAAGACAATTCCACCTCGAATTTGTTATTTATACCAAAGACCAACGCCTTAACAAATTGCAAAACTGCCCAATGAATAATCGATCTCCCCGTGGATGTGCCGAAGAACAGTCTGGTTAAAATAACAAACAAGGGGATTTTGATGGATTTTGGTTTGTCTGTCGCAGTGCCACCCGTGGCCCACCAGTTTTACTTGGCTAGCCAAGGAATGGAGCTTCGGTGCAACAACTCGTTTTTGGGTCGTTTGGAGTTCGTTCCTGGGTCAAGAACCTTCAGCTTGGGCTTTGGGCTTACTAAGTCGACCGCAAGGCTGCCTGTTTGGGGAAACACACACAAATTCATGGTAGAGGATGACTATATAATATGTACTTATTATACTTATGCCTCCAACCCAAGTATCCAGAAACCGATTCAATCGGAGAAGCAGAACGCAGGTAACAAGCCAACACAGCTTCTAGGCCATGGTCAAATGCATGTCACAACTCCTAAATTGGGAGACTGGTCATCTATCGTCCTCCCATTCCCTTCTTAACCAAGTACATCAAAAGAGCATGGCACAGATTATAAATACAAAAAGGCACTTGATACGTATCGAGAAGCAAATGTATGGGTTGCTTTTGGTGGATCCCTGACATCTGAGGCGAGTGGTAGGCCCCTCCTGCCAGGTCACTCGCTGCCCCGCCTGACAGGTAAGGCCTTCAACACTGCTTTCACCACCAGACTGTTGAGTTCCGCCTCGGTGGGCCCGCATCAGCCTATATACAAAGAACTTTGCAAACAAACATCAGTAAATCATAAGACATCATTGAGATCATGCAAACAAAGGATACATGTCAAATGACATGAGATGAAATGAGATGGGAACCATGCCACGGGTTGGAACCATCTGAGAGCCAGGGGACCTTTTATTCAAATTCACAATCTAGAGTCCTTCGAAGATGGTGCACTCGCACATTGCGCTGCTCCTGCCTCATCCATGGAAGATTTGTTCAGCTCATGGCCACAAGAAGTTGTTTCTTGCGGTATTCAGCTATATAGCAACGGCTAGAAAGCCGTCATGTTCTTGTTGTCTTCAAAGCCTTGCAGCTTCAGCCGTCATCAAGCTCTTCAGAATCTTCAACAACACGGGATTGGCACACTGTGACCGACTTTGGTGTTGTGTGGCACGCCACATGCTTGAGCAGCAACATGAAATGTCGCGTCTCAAAAACGTACAAGTAGCTCGTTTCGGCAGGCCAATTGTAACGGCCATACACATTAGACATATAAGCTTCCAACTATTTGGCAATATCATGCAATATCATATTTTAGGAGCACTATGCTGTCGAAGAATCAGACTGCTCCTAAATGATCCACCGATAACAAAGGATCCTTTTGGTGCGTTGTCAACGCTACTTATAGGTTGACTAAAGCAACATATATATATATATACTAAGCCGGCAATGTTCACCGTTTCACCCGAACTTACAGTAAGGCTTTTCGTTCAGCTCAGTGGCTCAGTCTGCTCAGTGCTCCTTTTTCCCACTTTGCGGGACTCGCTGTGGCAAAAAAACAAGCCTTTGATGCAGGTTGACCTCGAACACTTGAGGACTTCAACAAGGTTTGCCAACCTCTTGGCAATACCACTTGATGCCACTTGGTGCTACACCACATCATTTTAGGAAGCACCTTGCAATGCACCTTGCGGCCATGTTGCTGGCATTTCTCTTCAAGTCTATGTTTGGAACATGGTGGAACACTGGAACAGCCCTCTACTCCCATCCCGTTCATAAGTTCCAAGTTTGCCCATTCCAACCGTGAACATCAGGTGCCAAACAGAAAGCTCTTCCAAGGTCAAACCGTCCAACGGAACGGGTGAAACGCTTCAGCGACTCAGGCCCTGGCAAGTCACGGCTCCACCACGGTTCCGCAGCCGCGACCGCGGTCGACCAAGTCTCTGGGGTGGTCAAGGTGGGACACGGGATGGAGGGAAGACAGCTTGAAGATTCTAAGCAATCGAAGGCACGGCTCCTGTGACGTGGTGGCTGTGCTTGACATGATCCAGAAATCTAAGATATTGTCCATCTTTAGATTACAATCCCAGGAGCGGCACAACAACTGGAGTTGCCGTTGGAAGAGTCATCCCATGTCTGGTGCTTTTTCAGAAAGAGGAAACACACCTTGATAAACATGCAGACCTACAACCTACGAGTAGTAATCATATCCCTTCCTCTCATCCTCTCGTTGCGCCACCTTCATGAAGTGACCACCGATTGAAAACACCTGCCCGACAAAAACCATGCCACGTGCTGCTGTCTTCAGGACGCTGGCCATCTTGAAGCGCTCCTGGCCGTGGAAGTACGTACCATGGCTGCATGGCAGCCATGGCTGCTGCCTTCTCTTCGGAAATGGTCGAAAGGATGTCGAAAGGTTCTTAGCTCGGGTTAAGAGATGATCAATTGGCCAATGGCAACCTGCATCTGCATGTCATTTATGCCGATGCCTCGTCATACATCATAGGCCATGTCACACTAGAATACTATAGAGGCGTCATGAGAGAGTTCACTGCCTACAAGTCGCGCTTGATCTATTTCGCCGCTTTTGAACAGCTCTTCTCTGCTCTTTCGTGACCAAAGAGAGAAGCGAGCCACTCTGATGCGAAAAGGCGGGCATGGAGTGGTGCACCAAGCAGCGGGCGTGTGGGCGTCAGTGCAAACCATATCCGAACAACAGCCACTCCGGAAAACACCGGCAAACGGGTCCTTCTCCATATTCAGAAGCAAACGCTTCACTTTGAGCACCACAAAGTTCCTGCAAAAGGGCGGGCACACTGACTGCACTGCTTGATAGACTGAGGTGATGCTAAATGCACGGGCGTTGACGGTTATTGAGGGTTTAAGAGTGCTTGGGGAGAAGGGTGACCTGGTTTCTGCTGACGGTAATTGTTGTTGATTGCAGAACTGCAGCACGGCTGTCCCAGGTTCTTTGGCCCCACGATGGAGAGACTCCCATGGGCAAATCACCATTCGACCAACATCTATCCCAAGAGCGGATTTTTCAAAGGCATGGCCCTATGGCATGGCCATGGCCATCGGCATTTCGAAAGAGCTCCAATAGCTCTCATCAAAGCCGTTTGGACAGGCGCAGGAGTGAACCGACTGAATGGACTCGACTGGTGACACGAGGTGCCCAGAACCAAACATGACGGACCTTGGCTTCACGTGGCATTCATCCCGATTTCAGGAATCTGTGGCAGCTCAGCAACTAGGATGGAGCAATTACCAGGCCCATTGAAGATTTAAAACCCGTTATATTATACTTAGAAGAGCTTGCCGCCTAGCCTTGAAGGGTCTAACATGTCTGTTATTTGCGCTGATTGCCTATTTGCATAGACTTGTGGAACGGAATCAGTGAGAAATCAACTTCCCTGCTTGATAGGAGACCCATGGAGACCCCATCGGCACGCCATAGCAGTGCCAGCAAACTGGATATGCACAGAGTCCCAGCCTGTCACAAACCCGCACGTGGGAGTGCTCGGTCGCACCTGCACAAGATCTGGTGTTTGGAAACCGGAGTTGAAGTTGTAAACGTGTATTATTTTTAACGGCTTCAGGCTGCATTCAAATATTATGGTTTTAGGGTTTATCGAAGCCGTCTAATATCACTGGAATCACTAGCGGCGGCGCGGATGAATACTCACCTGACCTAGTCATACAAGACCTGACCTGAAGATTGACAATCCTCAACAAATACCATGTTCCAGTTGTGCATTTGGCTACCACAAGCGTGACCCACACAAAAGGCACTTGCCGCACTTGCCCCTTTCGCATGCCCTCCAGAGGGCTTACGTCCGACAAGTCCGACAACTTCCCTGGCACCAAGCATATACGAGCTGCTCGGCCGACCGTTCTGGTTCACAACATCCTGCTGGCCCTACTGGCCCTACTATGCCTGGGCCCTCCCGCCATCTTCTGCTAGCAGCCACATCAAGGAAGGCGCCTCTGGGTCTGAAGGGTCCTGCACAGCGTGGAAGCCAAACAACTGAATTCGTTTCAATGCCATCTGAACCCAAGCATAGTATGGCGATTACTGTAAATGCCATCTGCAATGCATTGAATCATCATCACCATTCTGAGAGAGACTCGTCGCTTCAGTCATTCTCTTCTTCGCACTGCTTTTCCATCGAACGCTGGAAGGCCTGGCGCTGGCAGCGCTTGAGAGGACACGTCCCAGAATTCCTTTTGGAACAGTGAACATCAGGAAGAGTCTGCGGAAATCCAGCTCTGGGACCGATTGCCTTGATAGATCACTCCGAGCTGTCTTCAACGAAGCAAAGGAAAAATGAGGGATTGGATAGAAAGGATTTCAACACACAGTGACAAAAAAGAAATGGAATCACCAGAGTCACCAGAACCTCCAAAATGTGCAGAGGTTGCTCTTCTTTCAGAAAACTGTTTGCTGCAGGGGTCACCCCTCCACCAATCAACCCTCCAAATGAAACAAGGACCCAGGAATAACTGCACGCATCCCTCACACTATATAAGTTGGCGCCGTTGTTGGTGACATAGACCCCAAGTACATGAACACAAACTCCCCGCAAAACAATCAGAACGGCTGCGCGCCTTTTCAAAGGTCGCGCGTTTAAAGGAACATGTCGGAGTCGTAGGCATCTTTCTTGGGAACGTGCGCGAACACATCACTTGTCCAAATCATGCTTTTGCAGAGTTCCTTCTCTCCCCAAAGGGGTGGCCTACAACCGTGATTTCGCTACAGTGTGGGTCCGTTTTCGTGTGACGGGTTTTCACCATGTTGCAAAAACAATTATGCTGATGCCCCCAAGCAGCCCACCAAAATCCACAACTCTTCGACGACAATGTTGAGACAATGATAATGTTGTGAAAACGGGTACCAACTTCACCCCTCAATGATGTTGATGAAACCACAATGAGATGATGTGGATGAAACACCCATTCATAATGCGCGTATTGGAAAGACGTCTGCAAAATGCTTGGGAGCCCGGGGCCTCTTTTTCAGTGCCTGGCTCTTAACTCAGAAAATGACACCTTTCAATCACAAGACTTCACTTCCAAAGCTGCCCATCCTCCTCCTGTGGTTCCAGCCTCGGCCATCGCCAGCTGCAAGGCCGTTGGAGGCGCCAGCCGAGCAGCAGCTGGTGTGCTGCCGGTGGCGCCCGTGCGGTTCCGCCCGTGGGCGCGGCGCATTCCGCAGGTTTGGGGCTCTACCACCAAGGACGGGAGCCATTGGCGCCTGGGCTGAACTTGGAATGTGAAAAGGCGCAGGTGGAAGGAGAAACAGCGAAGCACCAGTTCGTGCTGGTGGTGGTCATGCGGGGGTAGGGAGCATGCAACGCATGCAACTGCTAGGAGTACTGAAATACAAGTAGATGCTCACACATGTTTGACTTGTCTATGCTACACATTTCCTCTTGTGACAAATCTCTTGGTAGCTGCGGCATCCCGAATGACCTGCACGAGCCCCATCGTCTCCTGGAACTCACCCAATATTCTCCACTCTTTGATATCCTTGAACATCCTGCCTTCTATGACAAGGCCTCCAACATGACTCTGTAGGTAATTGCAATTATATAATCAAACTGGGCGACAGGAGACACTTCTTTTCGAGATGGGTCAACTCTTGCCGAGCTGCAAGCGCTGCCGCTTGCGTCTCAACAAGCTGGGCCCAAGCCGTCGCAGAGTCTCTAGCACGTTGAATGCTTTGCCAGAGGAATTCACCTCAGGCCCAAAGGCAACCATTATTTTTTCCTCGGAGGAAACCAACAGGGGCTTCAACCCAACAGGTGAATGAGTATTCTAGTCTAGTGAATGAGACATGTTGAGACATGTTGAGACACACCTATCCTTGCCTACATCAGGGTCATTCGTTCGTTTAGTTTAGTTTCATCATCAAGAGAAACTAGGTGTTCAGTGGATTTGATTCTTGGGATGTCTTGTGCTGTGCTTTTTTGAGCAGCTATATGAAACGAGATCAATAAGCCTCCTTTTTACACAATTCACATGAAACAGAGCCGGTCCCAGGCCCGTCAACACACAAGAATGAAATCAAAACGACTGCAAGCACCGCACCCACGATCTTCGCCAAAGCTGCTGGTTGAAAACCAATGTGCATGAACGGAGCATTGTGCTCTATCAAACACGGAAAACCCACGATCAACCATGCAAATGCCAGACTTGCAAATAACCATTCTATTTTCCAGGACAAGGATGCGCCGAAGATTTGGCAGACTTCCCACACAGTACATAGTTTTGCGGATAGAAAATAGATGTGACCTTGTGCAATGTACATAGGTTGAAGGGAGGCGTATTGTCCTGGCATAAGGTTCCAAAAAAATACAACCAAAACGACAACAAACATATATGAAACAAATATAACCTGGTCCTGCCTCGTGGGCAAATGCATACGCCAAACATCGCCAAACTAAGTCACAAACAAACCAAATTGCGTGGGAATTCGACCGTTGCTCACTTGTAGTGACAACTGATGAGTCTTTATCACTGCTAAAAACTCAAGCTCTGAGGGCCATAGTGCCCTCCCCAGACCCCTGCGCCGCCAGGACACACCGTAGAAGAAGAAACTGAATTCTTGCCACGGCACCTCTTGAAGTGTTTGTGGAGTCGAAGAAAAAGGGCGATCTGCACAATTAGAGACCACTTCAGTACAGCATATGATTGACTCTAGCCTGAAATATCCAAAAAGGTCCATGACACGATGAATCATCATGACACAAATTGTTTTTTGTTGGTGAATTCACCTTCAAACAAAACAAACATGATTTGTTTTGTGACTGCATGCAGGACGTAAACACGGGAAACATGCCTTGCAGCTCCATTCACGGCTAAAACAAGTATCATTGTGAGGCCTTCGCAAGAAAAACACATGTGTTCATTTTTAGGACACCCAAATACAACAAATATAATACACATATCTTCCCCTTGAGATCTTTGCCTACGCAAGTTGCCTCGAAGAAGAATCACGGTGGGCCTACGCAATTTGGTTTCGCATGCCCTTGCCCGCACGCAAGCTGAGAATAGTTTTCGTGGACCAAGTTGCAGTTCCTCTTTCATAAAACAGCCTTTCTTGGCCGGAAGGCATTTTGCCTTCAATAACATGTGATCAAACCAACTAAACACAACCTTGAGAAACCCAAGAAAATCAGTTCACCTCATGTCTCTTGTCTAGGACCTGTCCATGGATCCAAACTTTTTGTTGATAGCTTTTGTGAATCAAACCTCAGTTTCCTGCCCTTTGCTCTCACCACCATGACACTCCTCTCTTCAGAAACCCAAACAAACAAAAGAGATAATGTTCACAGATTCTGCTCTTCCCAGATCTGCTTCTGCAAATGAACGTGTCCTGCTCGAGAAAGATCCTTCAAAACTCTATGTGTTTGAAACAAACAACTATTTGAACACTTTCGTGCCTAAAATTTACTATTTTGATCTATTTTGTAAAAACGGCATACCGGTGCTTGAGCAAAATACCTTTCTGCCTGTGGGATCCTGTGGGTGCATTCTTGCAACTGGACACACTCTGACATTG